ATGCGAATCTCGGCAGGGATCTGCATCTGAATCCGAATCCGACGGCAAGTCGGAATCGAAATCGGAATCAGAATCAGCTCAGCAAAAACGATTTTTAAATCAATTTCTCAATCAATGTCAGGGCGAATACGAAAAAACACACGCCGGAGGAAAGCCGCTTCGCCGGTTGGATTTCGATTGCAGTCGCGCGATTCCTGGAAATCGACTCGAGCTGGAAATCGTGTGCTCGCATACTGGTACCGAAAAGTAAAAGGTTCAAATTGTGTCCAAAATGTCAAAAGCGGGCTCAATATGATCGCCGCCGCCTCTCCGCAACAGAAGCCCAGGAAATTTGATCGCATGCAGATAGCGCTTCGCCTGCGACTCGACTTGGCCAAGGTTCTGGGCTCAAACTTGGTATTCTGGGCTCTGGGTTCTTGGTTCTGGGCCCTGTGTTCTCTGTTCTGGGCTCTCGGTTTGGGCATGCAACTGTTTTGTCGTTTTTGGCGTGCGATAACCCAAGTCAATGACTGCCACTGCGGTCTCAGATGGAAAGCCCCACTTCTCCGCAATCTCCTCCTTATCCGGCATGAAAAGTGAACTTGACTGCAGCCGGCACTCGAGTGCACTGCCAACTTACGGGAGCCATGGGCCAAGGCGGCCTCGGCCGGGCCTAAACTGCACTCCCAGCCGCAGTCTCATCCTCAACCTCATCCTCATCCTCATCAGCATCATCATCGCTGCATACAATCGCCGATAATCTCACGCTTGGCATCGGCAATATCGGCGCAGACAGCGCATCCGCACTGTGAGAAATTTATTTGAGTTTGTTAAATTCCTAAAAATATATGAAGAGAACAATGTTAAAGATAACAAATACAATTAATTATTGATAATATTTAAATGTCAATTTGAAATCTAAATATTTGGTAGGATCCTTAAATCCCCGTATGAAAAAGAATTTAAGGAATTGTAAGGTACTATTATTGAAGGCACTTTATTTAATTGAATACGTATCCAAAACTCTTTATTTTTTCTCACTGTACAGAAATTTCCGACCTGCGCTGGGAGTTCGGCGGGCTTAGTTCGCTTTAGTTTAGTTTGGACCCTGGTCGGGCAGTTGTTGTGACTTGGCATTCAATTGAATTTCGTTAAATTACATGAATGTATAACCATTTTAATTTTCTTTTCGGCTGCTGCTCGCTCGACTCGAGTTCGGAATCGTCTGGGATCTGGTTTTTTGAGGCCCAGCCCGGGATGGGGACGGGACTCCTTCGCAGCGAGGAGATCTCGGCGCGCTTGTAGTCGATGCCTTTTGAATGATGACCCTACAAATCACGTTTCGCAATGGCTCTGGTTCTCTGGTTCCTGCTCCGATCATCAAGATGCTGGGCCGCCGATAGTCCCACCAGGAGGCCTTCCCATAATGACGATGATGATGGGGAAGTGCCAGCGGCGACGGCTCCCAGGAAAATCGCTTTTCGAAGGTGTTGCCACCGGGCTTCTTGTTCGGCTGGAGGTTTTCCCCTAATACAGTGCGCGGTACAGTGCGCACCCAGTTCGGTAGTCCGCGGCGCACTATTAGTTAATGGCTTTCCAGTTGATTGACGTTGCCAATATTCCTTGTGTCATGTGTGCTTCCTAAGTTCTCTGTTTGTGTAACAAATCCCATTTCGTGACTGTCAAAGGGCCCAACCACTTTTGTTTATTTAGGTTCCCAGACCTTCTGCAACGGCCGAAAGCCATAACGATCCTACGATTACTCCCACCCAGGAATTCGCACTGCACAAATCATGTTCATTACCCAACCACCGCCGCTCTGTCAGTTAATTTCAATTTCGAACATGATACGCCCCAAAAAGGATAACTCGTGTGACAAAAAACAATTAAGTCCCGGGGTGACACGAAACGTGAATGTCCCGTTCCGTTGCATAGAAATCGGGGAGTGGGTCGGTCGGAGTTGGCGGTGGAAAGCCCAAGTAATGCTCGCCCAGAGTTCCTATACTACCGAGGTCTACCTGCACATGCACGGTGAAAGCGTGAAAACGAAATGAAAAATCACGGACCAAAAAGAGGGTGGAGGGGGTGGGGAGGGAAGGGAAAAGGGGGAGGGCGGCGAGGCATGCACAATTGGGCGTTGTAATTGAATTAGTCACACCCACAGATTGCACACATGAATGACTTGGCGAAGACAAAAAGACACAGGAGTCCTGGGGGAGGGACGTAGATCGCAGGGCGGCTAAGGCACGAAAAAACTGCGATTTATTTATTAAACTAGGTTACCAGGCAACGTTTTACGAGGCGGGGAGCGGGGATGAATGGATTTTCCCAAGGCTGTAATGGTAAACGATTTATGAAAGTGCATTTAAGCAGCATTCGAGGCTACAATGCAGAAGGATCTACCACTCAAAGTTTCGAACAGAAAACGTCGATTTGTTCTCTGAGCCATTATGCGAATAGAAATAATCCTTGAATCAACATCCCTGAACAACCAGCAAACTTGTTTCTATGTAAACAGAGGCAGAAGCCGATTAAATGTCCTTTCCTTAAGTCCTTAGTATTATTTTTAAATTTTTATTAAAATTAACTTTAACATTTGAGGAACAATTAAAATACCAGCTGATTTGTTATAGAAGAAGTTTTAATATAAAATTATTTAATATTTCATTGTTGAATAAATTTATTAGTCTTAAGTTCCCTGGTTGAAATTGTTAATCTTAGGTAAAGTACTTTCCAAGAACGCCACTTTTAGGTAACTTGGCTTAAACGGGTCCCATGCATCCTAGATGTCGACTTCCCCACATACATAGAACCTAAAGAGTCCTCCCACTTGGTCGCCTGGGACCTCTGACCTGGTGTGGGTGTGTGTGTGAGTGTGACTTGCTGCGGCAGTGTGGGTGAGTGGGTAATGTGTCTCAAGGACCGTTGGTGGCACCGCTCAAGTATTTGCCGACATGTGCAAACACTGCGAGGCCAATTTGCATTATAATCGGCAGCAGTGGCAGTGCTGACTTGACCTTGTCCCGAACACACACACACACACACACCCACAGGCACGTCAACACACAGTCACACAGATACTCACTCACACAGGTGGGGCCTACTACAGCCTGTTTTTCTACTACACTTTCTCGAGCACTTTTTTCAGTGGCGCCCGAAAGTATGCTTTGAGATTTGGCAGCTCGTAATTAAACATGTAACCAAAGCGAAAGGGCGACCCGGCACTACATTAAGGTTATTTATCGCTGAGTGTCGAGTGCCCTCCACCTGCTGCTCCTCTACTTGCCACCCTAGCCACCCTAGCCACCCTAGCCACCTTGCCACCTTGCTACTTTGCTATTTAAAATGATAAAATGCATGTTGACCTCAACGGAGCTGCCGAGAGTGAGGAGCACTCAACATCCTGGCACCAGGGCCTGTAATAAAATCCAAAAATGTGTTGCCACAAAAATGTTATTTCCTAAATAAACCCTGGGTGCGGAAGAGGGGAAAGGGGAAGGGCGAGGGGAAGGGGCCTCAGGTAGCACTTCCACGTGCAACTCATCGCATCGCATCTCAGCCAAACTCGCAGGATAACGACAGTCTGCTCGGCTCTCATCTCGTGCTGAAGTTACTCATGCGGTTTTTACTGGTAATTAAATTAAATTTATTTAAGTTGAGTTAGCTTACGCTCGCTGCCTGGATTCTATCCTGCCTGCTGGTTAGTGGGTGGCTCGGTGGGTGGTTGGGTAACCTTCTGCCTGGCTTGGGTTACGGTGGTTTCTGGCAACAATGTTGCGGCGGGGCAACCACAGCAGCCGGAGCCACCCGCTCTCAGGTGTCCATCCACTTGAAGCCGCTCCCAGTTCTTCGGCTGCATTTAAAGTGACAGTTTTGTTGCTTAAAGTGTGTAATCGGAGCTGATAAAAGCTTCTGCCATTTAGACGTACTGTAGGTACTGAATGCCCGGGGCCACAAAGAGATGTGCGGGTGTATGTGGGCATCCAGCAAAACTCAAGTATTGTGCCGGCAGACCAGAGGTTGTAGTTTCGAAAGCTCACTGTGCAGAATTGTTGGGGTTTCTGCGGGATAGTGACGGAACTGCACAAGTTTTCCGGATAAAATCAAGACAAAATGCAAACTAAACTGAGAGGAGCGCCAATAATCTCCATAAAAGTACTAAAAAGTGCCAGCCGTGTTTATTTACTTGCCATCCCGGCAATTATACTGCCCACTAGGGCAACTTTTAAAACCAGAAAGCTGGTAAGGTCAAGAGTCGGTCGGAAAAGTGGGAGTGGGAGTGGGAGTGAGATGGAAAAGAAAAGAAAAGGGATGGAAAACCAATTGAAAATCTGACTCTTGCGGTTGTTATATTCACATTATTTTTTTTATTGCACAATTCACGCTGTTTGCCATTTCTGGGCCCAGTTGTTTGGCTGCCAACTTTATTTATAGGTCATTCGTTGTGCAAAAAGGAGGTGGGGAAATTCACAGCGCCACAACAACAATAGCTTATGCCCAAGTATGCAAGTATTGTGCACAATATATTATTTTATTTTTCACAATTTTCCAATTGCAGCACTCGCGGTGCCTATTTTGTATTTGTTCCATCGCTGGAAATGCTTTGAAAGTATTTACAAACGTTTTCGCTGCAGCTCTATAGACACGAATTACCCCTGGAAAAAAAATACAGGAAATGCCCAAAGGAATGCTCAATTTGATGTAATGACTATGTTATACACTTTTATAGGCAAAGAGTAATTTATAATTTGTAAAAATTATATGTTATCAAATCTAAACAGCAGTTTATGATTTGTTAAACCAGTTAATGCTAATAAAGCTAGTTAAAGCTTAGGATGATGAATTAATTGCAATGCAGGCTTATATATTTATATATATATCACATACCAAGTTACCAACATATATTTAATGAATTAAAAAGTATTGGGTTACATTTTTAATATAAGTGGCTAATCCTTTATATATGTTAAGTAATCTGAAGTTTGAAATACCCAACATTTGTTGGCCCAACAGCAGGCCACTGCTGTGTTGGCACTGCCAAAAGCATTTCAATTTCAATTTCAATTTTCATGCTGAAGCCTTGCCACCGTGTTGCTGCTGCTGCTGCTGTGTTGCTGTTGCTGCTGCGATGTTGCTGCTGTGCTGTTGCTGCTGCTGTGTTGCTGTTGCTGGCAGGCAGCGACTGAAATCGTGCCGTTAATCGCTTTAAATATGCGACAGGTTGTTCCCCGTTCGGTGGCGTCTCCGCGGCAAAAAGCTGGTGCAGCTCGCGCTCGTGTTTTCAGCTTTGCAGATTTGCAGGCTGTGAGCGAAGGATTTCATAATCCCCTGCATTTGTCTCACCGATTATGCAATTCGGCTAGACGGCAGTTGGGCTGGTACTCGCTGCACAAAATTCAGGAAGTCATTTGCCAAACGTATTAAAGCCTTTGTACAAATAAATGTTTATTTAAATTAGACTCCCGACAAATAAACACAAAAGAAAGAAAAGGCACCCAAAAATGTACGAAATACGAAAGCACAGGAATAAACGGTAGCGTTTTGTGTTTGATTTTCACTTTCTATTTGCGGTCGGATTGCCATTCGCATTTGATTTGTTGTCACCCATTGTTATTGCTTCTGTTATTTTATGCAAATTCGGATCCCGGTCACTGCCTACTGTTTGTTTTTATAAAAAAATCGAAATCACAATAGAGTCCGAAGGTCGCAGAGTAATGCGATTTTTCGATTTCAATAAAACGGATAGCCAGTCGTAGTAGGAGCTTCTTGTCCGCAGATTATAATCAAGTTTAGTGATGATTTTTACAGAAGTAGTGACTTTTTGTGTCTGTAGCGGGAGTAAATCGAACAAATAAATAAGTGCTTTAGGTTACACATTATATTTCTTGCCATTGTTACTAAAAATATTATTACCTCTCTTAATTATCAAAGTTGTTTTGCTCTTCTTGCAGTTCACGAACGTAAGCATAAGGGTAATATACAAAAATAAAGACCAATACTGTAAGGTTGAGGGTTTTTCGATTAGTATGCTGCTCAAATCAAAGCCTCAAGGTCACTTACATAAGAATATTATATTTAAAGTAGCAATGAGAAGACTTTCCTCCGGTGCCGCACTGTCATACACAAGTATAAGCAACCCAGTCTTTATAACCACCAGTCCTATTCCGAACACCAGTGCAACCAGACTCCACAACAACAGCAGAAACTTGATTTTCTGATGATAAATGTAATGACTAGATGTAGAAAATAATATTAATAATTTCACAAGTACTTGCAAAAATTGCGCCAATAATCAGGAGAACTGCGGCAAATGAAATCGGGATCCACGCAACCACGGCTGCCAGTAACCAATCATTTAAGCCCATTGTGACTGCAGGTTGAAACGAGGAGTTGGTAGTGGGTTAGTTTTATTGCCAAGAATTTTCCCTAATATATTCACCAATCTCATAGGCGTTATATGATAACTCCACTGCTGATAGAATAATCGCAATCCCTCCCAGGGTGATGCAGGCGTACTTTTTCGATATCTGCATGCACATTTTAACATTTTAAGTTGTCTTTTCAAAGAGAGGAAGTGTAAGGATAGCAGCTTGCGCATTCTATCATTATCACTGCCAGTTCCTTTACTTGGTCGCCAATTAGAAGTTAAGTCTTCTACTTGTACTAGTGCTGATATGATCCTAATTGATCATTCGAAAGTCTTCTAACAAGTATTGTTAATTTGTATAATTTTAAGATTTATTTGACATTTATTTCCAAGTCACTTTGGTTTCAGATTGGTATTGAACTGTATTCTATTTAAATCTTTGATCTAGTTTTCATACATCTTTTTGTAAAAAGGGAAATTTCATTCTCTACTTGAATTCATAAAAAAACATACCTGAGAAAATGGACAAATATAAATCGGACTTATCAAAAGCCTTCGAGGCCGCTAAAAGTCCTTTACAACCATACAGTTCTCCAGCATCATTCGGCTCGCCCTTTTACCAAGGACCCACTTCTTTCGGAGGCAATTCGACGAACAATCGGTCTTGGAGTCATCGCACTGTTAGTTCCATCCGCGCATCCCTGGATCTCTCAAATGGAGAAAGTTCGATGAAAAGGAATCATTACGGCATTCGTCCAGTTGATATGCAGTCATCTAGGAGGAATCATAAGGAAACTTCTTTAAATGTACATTTAAAACCCAGAAATTATGTCCGAACAAGCCAGAGTTCTAAGAAACTTATGCAGCAGGAAAGAAAAATGCGTTTCAAGACACCAAACAATCCTCACATGGAGTCTTTCAAATATCAAGAGGAAAATCAGCCGAAGGTTTTACCGCAGATGGACTATACGAATCTTCTTGACGAGAAGGATTTGCCTACCAAATCAGTTGAAATTACTTTTACCTTTCCCGAACCCGAACCATTGGCACACCTCAATCTGAACAGGGAATTTCCTTTTCCCCCACCGACTCCTTTGGGATAGAAGAACATTTCTAAATTTATTAATTTATGAATTTTTATGTATATTGCGATTTCAAATTTAGGTTTTAATTCGACTTATAACTGCAAGTCATTACGTTTGCTTTTCCAAACAATTAATTTGATACTGTAAAGGATTTAAAATAGAAATTAAAGAAAACAATATTCAGCCCCCGAATGTCCAGATTTAATCGAATATATTTGTAATTGAATCAACAGCTGGCGGCTGTTCCTGCATTTGGAGAGGGTCAGCCTGGATTCCCTCTATCCTGCCAGGATATCCTGCTGATTCCAGCGGGTGGGTGCATTGAAATGATATTTTTACTAGTGCACGAGGGCACGGGAATGCCAACGTTTTAATTAAATTTTTCAAGCAATTCAAGCAAACTTGCCAAAGGTTGACAGTGGGCGAACGGGGGGCGTGGCAGCTGCATTTTTTTGTTGACTGCACACGGCGAGAAGCGGCAACAAATGTGCAGAAAACTTTTCGACCAGCTCCGGGGCTCCGGGGCTATTTGGCATTGGCAGAGCGCGGGGGCAGGCCATTAATTAACTAGAAATGCCATTTTCCACAATTATACGTTCGTCGACTATATAGAAATGTAAAAACTAATTACATTGCAATTTGCCAGCGTAATAGCCCGGGCCAGGCTCGTGTCGCTCTGTCTGCCTTCGCTCGGCGAACTGCATGCAAAGCAAATTATGTGTGGGTGGTGGGCGTTAAAGGGGGTTAAGTGTATAACAGGGGTGAGAGGAGAAAGGGGGCGGATGGCGGACTAACAAGTTTCCGCGCTACTTCCTTGGAAATTCAAAATCAATGCAGAAAGCGAAGGACACATCCTGGTGGCTCGGAAGTTTGTCCAGGCCCAAGAACCGCTCCCTGTTCCACACCAATTCCCAGCCAGCAGGGACCCAGGTGTCCTTTTCGAGAATGTGTGACTCCTGGGAAGGCGGGGCACAATATATAGTGCTGCATGCAAGTCAACTGCAGTCCCAGTAAACTGAGAACATTGGTTTGAAAACAGACAAATGGCTGTTAAAACATTATAATTTCTTTTAAATTAAAACTATTCTTTAAGGAACTGAGAGAGTATTTTTAAAGGGAATATCCCTTTTCCCTTAACCAACAAGGTGGAGAAACAGGAACCCTGTGATTGACTTGGCCGATTAAGGGGCAATATAATTTGCATGTGCGCCATTGTGCTTAGCGGTTACTTAAGCCTGGTTTAATTTGCCTTTAGTGCACCCGCAGTACACACACAAAGCTTTTGTTGATACATTAGTTGCCCATTCGTAGTTGTTGTTGTTAAGGCAACGGACAATTTGATTGATGTGGGATTTGCGGCAGTTGCAGGCCAAACCATCTCCTCCGCCTATGGGTTCCACCCATTAGGGCAATCTGCTTATGAATATGGCTTAAACTCGTCGGGCAAACAGCAATCAAAGTGCAATTAACTGTCCATAGAAATGCAAAGGCATATATTACTGTATATTACAACCTTTGTCATCAAATTTCAGTTTATTGATAGTTAGAATAATTTGTAATGCCATTGCTCTAAGGGTTATAAATATCCTACATACCAAAGTTATGTTTCTAACTTATTTCTAATCACAACTATTAAACAGTCACGCTACTAGCGTTTGCTTCTTTTTGAACAACTTCTGAGCAGACCCTCATTACTCGTAACCGATCGAAAGACGTCGTAATAGAGAGGAGTTCAGGACCAGTTAACCTTTCCCGAATTCCGTCCGCCAAACGAGGTGCATTTGAGCCATCATAAGCCCGATTTTCCGACTCACGGCAGCCCGGGAAGAAGTTATGACTACAATTTGCGCTAAACCAAAGCAAACCGAACAATTTGTGGTCGCCTCTAATGCACTCACATATAACCCAGGTCCTCAACTCCGGATCCCCGGTTCCCCGGATCCCCAGCTCCTGGCCAATAATTACGCAGGGGAGCGGGGAACGGGACGTAAATTATGTGTGCAAGTTGTGCGTAAAGTTCGGGCAATGCTTAAACTTTAGCGCCGTGCCCATGGACAGGGAAAGGGATTGGTATCGGGATCGGAGGACCGAGGACCAGACATCGGAGGAAGGGGAGGGGAACCAGCGGAAGGCCGCTGACAAAGTGGCTGCACTTCCACTTCCAGTTCCCTCCGATGTCATAAAGTTTATCAGAGGAAGCCGCTCCTCGGCAGCCAGCCGTTTTGGGACCCCATGTGCTCGCCGCTCCATTGTGCCGGCTCCTTTCTATACTTTATGGCATATTATTGGCATAAACATGGCGACGTGCAGTTGGTGGAACCGCTTCCACGACCTCCGTCGAATGGCTTGCAAGGTGCAAGCTGGAAATTGTGTGATTTATTTGATGTGTCAGCCAAAGCGTTCAATTAGCGACTTTAACTGCGGCCCAAGAAGGCCTAGACGAGATTGCCACTCGGATCGAGATCGAACCTTTTGACCCAGTTCCCCGGTTGACAGTCCTCGAATTGTATAATATATGGCCACGGGCCGCTTATGATGGCCCCATAAATATCTACTTCATGTGCGTGTGCTTTTGGTTGGGAACTGCGTAGGGATTGCCGAAACATTTAGCACAATTTGCGCCATATTGCTCCCCATAACAATGCCTCATCTTCTGCGGAGCGATCCGCGGTGAGTCGGTCCATTATTGATGATACCGAATGCCTCTAAATTATCAATTGACCATAAATTTGCTCATTACGTTCGCCTCTCCGGCGAACGTTGGGGTATTTTCATTCAAGTTTCCAACCTCGAGAGCGTCTAGGTTTTTTCTCGTCTGCCGAAACGCTTGGCGTTTAACCTGAAACGACTCGAACTCAAAGGCGAACTCAAACTCGGACGTCTCATCATCATTTGCCATTGTTGGATTGGACTGGCTCGGACTCCAGCCGAGTGGCTGTGCTTTTAAATAACTTTTTTATAAGCGCTCTTGCCCGGCGAGTTATTGGCATTTTGGCCGGAGATGCGATGCGGTTATGGCCGCCCGGCAAATTGTTGTTTACAGCTGTCGGGTGTTGGTATTTCATGGCCCTGCTCTGCTCAGCTCCGCGCTGCACCGCTATAATTGCACTTTATGCTCTGGGAGCGCACCTCGAAAGTGGGCCGTCCATGCTTGGCAGCTGAGTTAGGAGCCGATTAGGCCCGGCCGTGGAGTTAGAGCCCGCTTTGGCAAATAACTCCGGCCTAATTTGGCCCTGCTTGGCATCGGGCTAAATCATCTAATGCCCGTGATTATGACGTCACTCGGATGATACCCGAGGAATTTATTAATGTTTGTCCTTGTTATGGATACTAATAACAGGTCACAAATATTTCAGTATTAGTTTATTGCGATTAGTACTCGTAATGATTTGAAAACCAAATGCCTTTTTCATTTAATATTCCTATTTTTCTAAGACTTTTATTATAAACTAGAGGTCCTGTGCCCGCTTCGCTGGTCAACACAATTTAACAACATAATAGTCAATGTTGCACGTCCAATTCCTATTCGTCTAACAGCAGGCATTATTTCAAATTGTTTAAGCTCGCTCTATTTTTTGTTTAAATATTTTTTTACCGACTTCATCGATACACAAAATCAACGCAGCTATGATCTTTTTTTTACATACAACATTGTGTACATCTGTTGAGCCGCTAGCGACTTTTCCAGAAGGTTTTCCCAAAATTTTCTTATGCTTAAACCTTCTTCTGGTTCTAAGCTATCTCCCTACCAATTTTCAGCCAACTCGGTCAAGCCGTTTTCATGTGATGCGATTGCGCACATATTTTGTCTCCATTTTTATATATATAGATAAATGGCATTGCAAAAATTAAACTTAAGTTTTATAAATTCTAATCGTAGTTGCCGAGGCAGTTGTACATTTTAAAGAAAATAGATTATACGTCATTCAGAAATTGTAAAACGCTCCGAGTCTGTAGCACATATCTTTTGTGAACAAAATGCAGGCTGAAGAAGTTGACGTAAGTTAAAAAAAATACCTTTGGTTTCTGCATTATCCATTCCTTCAATCAGCCAAAACGCACAAAGAGATATGTGGATGATGTTTTTCGCCAAGTTCAGGAGAAACCGGGAGTTGAGGACATATTGATCATGAACCACTCGGGAGTTCCTGTGAAAACATCGATGGAAAGGCATGAGAGTCTCCAATACGCCTGTTTGTATGACAACTTAAGGGAAAAGTGCCAGGCGTTCCTAGCCAAATTGGACCCAGCTCAGACTTTGACCTTTTTGAGAGTTCGTACTAAGTTCCATGAAGTACTCATCACACCAGATGCCAAGATCACCGTGTTAGTGGTGCAAAATGCGAAGGATAAGTACATAAACATGAAGGATTCGCAATAAAAAATACTCTTACTGTCCTTACAAAAATGGCCACACGCATAAATGTAATTGGGTATTTAAACATGAATGTTATCTAAATAAAGAAGTTAGTTGTCGCAACATAAAAAAAGTTTGGATTTTTCAATAAGCAAAAATCATTTAAAATTTAATTAGAGAGCAGAGTGGATTCAAAAGAGCATTCCATGTTAATCAAATCAAAATGAACCTTTTGGCATAAATTAAAACACATTAAATTCAAGATGTTTCCACCTCCGTGGTGATACTCTTACATTCCGATGCATGTGGCCCCAACAAGTGGTTTTCTGTCTGCCAAACATCCGCATCCGCGGCACTCCACGCTTCGGCCTGCGAGATTAACATATCACGTCGCCACAACATTTCACAAGCTCCTACGCGATCCTATGATCCTCGGCACCACCCCCTCGAAAACTATTGAGTGGCAGCTGCAAATCAGCGCGAAACCTTTTCCCCTTTTGCAAGGGGGCGCTTGTAATATTTAACACCGTCTGAATTTTAATGCGCTTTCGACTGCCGCTCACAGCTGACAATGGTGTGCGCCTAATGGCCAACTAATATGCGCAGAATCACTTGGCAGCCGAGTCGCGAACTCGCGGCTGCAGTTCCAGTTGGGGTTCGGTTTGCTGCCCAGATCGTGCAACTTTGGGGCAGCCAGCTCTCTGTGTGTTGCAACACCTTCTTTCCGCGAACCTGGAGCTGCAACTACAAACCGATCACGTCACGAATTGTTGTTGAGGGGAGAAAGAGAAAGAGAAAGAGGGGGAGAAGGTGTCAATAACTTTCAAATGCCTGCCCAGGATATGCATTATATTATTATAATGCCGCAGTCCGCTCCATTCGTCTCCGGCAAATTTATGCATTTTTGAAGTTTTAATAATGTAGCTCGTTAGCCACGGTTTGTTAAACTTTGTTTTCATTTTCACTTGGCTTCACATCAAGGGATTGTCCAGGGGAGTGAGGGGAATTTGAGGGAAAGGGGGAGGGGGAGGCAGCTGCACCCGCTCCACATCCAAGTTCCAAACAGCCTGGCATCCATGTAGCCACACCGTAAACACAATCACAATATCCCCCATCACGTGTGCGCCTGTCTTCACTCCACTCAGGCTGCACTTTTTTCTTTTTTTTTGTTTTTTTTTTGCCTTCAATATGCGAGTCGTGAATTTGCCCCGGGTCCTTTTCTGGTTTCAGCTGTATCCAGCGCCGTTGCCGTTGTTACTGTCAGCTATTTGTTGCCGTTGGTCATATTGCAGTTGGAGTCGGACCATGGCGCCTTGCCAACCCAGCCAGCCATCCAACCCAGCCAGCCAGCCATCCAGCCAGTCAGTCCGACACCCGTTTGATAAACGAACAAAAGTGAAAACACATTTTGCATTCGGCAGCTCCTGCTTTGCATAACTCTCAAGGATGTTCGAGGGTTTGCATTCGAATTAGCACTGCGTCAGTGGAATGTTGGGGGGAAGTGGGGAATAAATATTACATACACTCAAAACATAAAAATGTATTTTGGTGAGCAAAAGGTCACTTTCGAAATTAATACGCCTTTCATTTAGTGGAAAGGCTCCGCCAAACTTGCAAATTGATTGTCGAAATTCGCCTTGGATTAACTATTTCGTAACCTGAGCTCCCCCAGCACATATTAGATTGAGTAATCCTATAAAACGCCATTCCATACTCCTCGAAGGGAGAAGCATGCAAACGCAGTTAGCCAAATCACAGCCCTCTAGCATCGGTTTTAGTACGGCCATATATCTGGTCATTAGTCGAAATGGACAAGTCGTGAGTTGGTGTTAAGTGCCAAACAACTAAAATTAGTTTTCATTTGTTGGCCAGAATTATGGATGGAATTCATTAGGTGAAGCCATTTGATGGATATATTTAAGTGAGTTATTAAGATTGAGAGTTAGGCATTCACAAAAGGAGTTACGGTTGAGTTCAATGTCAACTAAGAGTACTAAAGACTTTAAATTGCCTTTAAATGTGCAGTAAACGTAAAACTATTTCGTATGTTATAGCGGGTGTTGTGATCGTGGCTCTTTTAATAGGACTTCTGCGGCATGGTAGCTAATTTCCAGCATTTTTTTTTAAATCCTTTTAAATTGTTTCTTCAGTTTTTAACGTCAGCACATTCGATTTATTATTACTTACACCGGCTGTGATGGTTATTTCATTTCTTTATATTTTTAAAATGATGTCCGATGTGGTAAGTTTCTTTCTTTTAGTGGTTTATTCAAAACTAAAGTTATTATATTAAGGAGTATATATATTTGGCACTGCTGGCAATTTTAGCAATACCAATAAGTTGCACATACTTGTTTGTGCTCAAATTTGGAACTGTGCCAGAAACTTGGAGCTCTATGAAAATATTTTGGAAAATGGTTATCATTTTCTATCTGATGTTTTTAATAGGTAAGTCATCTATTGCCTTTATTAACAAAAATAAACATATTTGTTTTAGTGTTCCCTGCCTTTTGGCTCTTGATTGTTTACTACTTTTATTATGAGTCAGAAAATCCTTTACAAGCACATATTATTTAAGGTATTCCTGAATCGACAGTTATTTGATTACCAATTTTCGGCTGGTAATTGTGTGAAGTATTTGCAGATTGTCCGTGGCAACAATTATGGCGGAAAACTGTTGATAAAGTTGCTGCTCCATTCATCACGAACGTGATTAGCTGAAAATTTGATGCCAAACTTCTAATGAATGAAAATCATTGGAAAGTTTGCCGCTGGCAAGCTCCGCTAATAAGACACATTGTCTAGCCAAAGGATCTGGCCGAACCGAAAGGTAAGTTCCAAAATACAAACAGCTAGGAGAAGGGGTCCTGTTGCTCCTTCGACGCTTGTTTTCCGTTGTTATTGTTGTCGTAAGTTTGGCAACTTGCTCGCTTCCTTGGGCTAACCGAAGCACATTACAACTAATACACTCAGACGATGTACCCGAAAGTTTGCTTGCGTCGCACAAAGAGCATAATTACCAACAACATGGAAAAATCGAGGGAATTTTTGGGGGAAAGGGAAGAGGGGAAAGCGGAAAGCGGCAACTTTTCCACAAAATTATTTGCGGTCGCAAAGATGGAGGAAGGGAGGGCAAAACTTTGACATAAAGAAAAGTTTGCGCAAACCGACTTAAAGAAAATTATAATTACACGCACAGTCAGCCAAATAGTCCAAGTTTTCGGTTCTGGCTTTGCTTCGGTTCCTACTAGGCTTTGGTTTCGGTTTCGGAAAATTCTGTAATTGCCGTTAGTTTTCGAAGTTTTCAATTCGCAATTTGTTCGCCAGGACAACTGGCAGACAAACAAGAACAGAAAATTATGGTAAAATATGCAAAAAAAAAGGGCACAGTGAAGAGAACACAAATTCTCGGGAACCATGAAAATTGGAGAGTATAATTAGAGCACCTGCCCCTCCTCCCCGAAGGTCAGCCCCCGAAAAACTCGACAAAGAGCCCGGAAAAACTGAGCTGCCCAGATTGAATTACGTGCGGTGCTCATCGACGTGCCTTTGGCTTTCCCAGTTCTTGGGCTAGTTTTAGTTTTCTGCGGAACTTTGTAATTGGTCAGGGCAATTATACTCGGATCAAGAGTATGCCAACAATTTTGGTTTATTTATTAATTTATTTTTCACATGGGGTTTTCTTTATTACACTTATCCTTTTCTTTGGTCTACGTTTTTTCACTTTTGTAAGTTTTACACTATTTTTTCTACATCTAAATAAATAAATAAATATTAAAAAAATATTTTCTTTTTGAAGTATTCTCTTTTTAACCCCTTTCCTTAAAGTTACTCACGGCAAAGTGGATTTGGTTTTAATTTTTTACCCTCAACTTCCGACAGCCATTCTCCCCCTAGAAAAAACCCAGTCCTCGACTCCTATTCCCATTTTAATTTGCACATGGACCCGAGGTTATTCCTGGTCCGACCCTTGGTCACTCCGTCCGTCCGCTGGGGTGACGGGAGTTTCATTTATTTAATGCATGCACAATTTCCTAGACACTTTAACGGCGACTTTTGATTTCCATTCCCAAATCTCTGGGCGGGGGCTTAATGTGGCGGGAGGCTTTGCAGAAAGCCAGTCGGGCGGCTTTATAGAGCGACAAAGGAAATAAATATAGACGGCAGCAGACGAAAATAAAAACAGTCTAACAAAGGGATTTTCGCGCTTTTCTTTCTGATAGCTCCGAGCTCGGGGGATGGTTTGGCTTAACGGTTAAGATTGCACTTTTCCGCCTGCTGGTTTCATTAAAGTTTGCGTTTAAAACAGCTCCATTGAGTATTGGTTTGAATCGTTGCCTGGTACAAATTGTTGTTCTTCAATTTAACAAAGTGAATTCTTATTCCAACGAAAAATATCGCAGCAGTGCTTACTTTTATCAGCTTCGGATTTTTATCAATCATCTCTTTCTTGAATTTTCTGTTCAATTTTATAGAAAAAGAAACAACAATTTATTAGAAAAACATGATTGAATAAAAACAATGTGTCGAATTAACCGCTCTACTCTGACTCGACGATTGTTCTGTGGAATTGTGGCAGTCGCCGTAATTATATCATGTGTCGCCCTTTTAATAATTTTGTGTTTTCGTAAATGTCTTTATAGATTAGATCTGTATGAAGAAATATATCTGGGAGTCGCCTGCTTTACACTTTTAGCTGCAATATGTCTTCTTTTCGGATCGATCTATGTATTAAGTTTCATTTCCTTCAACACAATTCATATTTGTTTATGCTGATTTCTTGTATTTATAGCAAATCCGCATCCTCGTGTGGATCTGGATCCTGATAGTTGTCGCAGTCACAATCACAGTCACTTCTGTAGAAATAATCAGGCTGTACAGGGACTGGAACTATTTCAGTGACCTATCAAGAACTTACAAAATAATATTTCTAATAATTTTTGCATGTGAGGTTATCGAATTTAGAAATGGCATATGCACTTTACCAAACTCTATTTTCAGTTTCAATGTTGTGTTTGGTTTACGAGACTATTATGTATGCCTTAAATGTGAAAAAAAGTGAAGAGGAACAAAGTCGGACTGATTGCGATTTAAGACGTTGTTAACAGTTGAATATCCATGTATAGCAATTTATTTTGTAAATCATTCTTTGTATTTTCCGAAAAATATTAAAACTTATTCAATTTCGCATGTTGATTGATAAAACAAACTGTCTCTTACGTTGGTTATGAGTTTTTGCCTGAGCACTTGGGTGGGGTCCCCATCCCCTTTTCGATTTTATTGAGGCATGGAGCCTCAGTCTGGAAGCGAAATCAATGACAGAAATATGAAATGAAAATATAATTGGTAATTTATTGTGTCTACAGATCGTTGCTGCAAAATGCGAGCAAGCCAAGTAAAATAATAAATGCACATATTCGTTTGAGCCCGCCTGGATATGCATATCCCCGATGCAGTTGTGTTTACAGCCTCCCCGGCGACTCCCCGGAAAAGTGTGGTGCGGGTGGTGCGTCATGGGCCTGCAACTGCTCCACTCCAGCGAAATCCACTCGAGTGCGCACCAATAAAAATAATAAAAATTTTGCCATAATAAAAAGCGCAGCGCACAAAGAGCAAAAAACACCCGAGCCGCCCAAATAAATCACACAACTTTGCAGACAAGGGATCCCCCAAGAGTCGGCTTGGTTCGATGCACTGGAAAAAAATAGTGCTGGGATCTGTAATTCAAGTGACTATGCTATTCAAATTCGGTTATTTGTTGGTATGTGTTAAGGGGAAGAGATCATAAAATGTTATGAAGGAATGTTCCAACATTACGAGATCACTTCCATAAAATCCAACCTTTTCTTTAAGTGCAGCTATGCAGCAGAGGCGCCAACGCTGCACAAGAGAAAATGCAATGAATTGGACGGGCTTTCGCATAGGACTTTCGCAGTTGAGTTAACATTTAAAACCAATAAAAGAGTTATGGAGTAGGATAAATTATTAGCATAATTATATAACCCCAAATGGTTTCCAAAAGCTTCGTCAAGCACAAATTTAAAATAAATAAATATCAGCTTTTAATAAGAAAATGAATTGTGTAGAAAAATATCTTTAAAAAACAAATGCAACTCAGGTCAAAAACATTAATTATTCCACTAGCACTCAGTTATGCAACAGTCATGATCAAACAACAAGCTGCGTTGTTCGACCAATTGTTTGGCATAGATCAGAGCAGTTTTCCAGCCACGATAACGACTTTAACAATGGCAAGCAAAACCGCGCTTTGATTTCTATAAATCAACGGTCGCTACGCAAACTGTCATGGCAACGGGGAAAACTTTCCATTTTCCGGTGCTGGCGGCGGCTGCTTTTGTTCGGAAACGCAGTGCACTTGGCGATAAATCAAGGCCCAGATCGCCTGGCAGATCAAAAGCCGCAAAGCGATCCACAAGCCATGAGCATCGGAGCGAAGGAATCCAAGCAATTCCGCGGGGAAGCCAAGCAGCAAACGATATTGTCAAGCCTCGCGACCTGTTCAACCGACTAACGAACTGCGCGCTGTTCGTTCATTAGCGCCATTAAACCAGTTTTGACATTTTAATTAAGAATGTGCAACATTGCGTATGCGCATTCTGAGCTGCCAGCCAAGGTCAGGATCATAGATCATAGGCGAGCGCTTATCGCCGTCTACAAGCAACAAAAACGGCAACGGCAACGGCAACAGCAATAGCAACCCGCTAACAGCAGCATCGCGCCGTCTTATCGGCCATATCGGTCGCCAGCATCTGCATTTGGCCATGTCCTGCGGCTGCCAGTGCGACAAGGCCAAGAAATTTGCATTTACCAGACTGTCGCCCACTTAATTACGCAGCAACGCAACAGTTGCAGTGGCTCTGGCTGGCGATGTTGCTATTGCACTGGCCGTTGTTGCAGTCGCCGGCGTTGCAACAGCATGTTGCACACTAACAAGCCTGCCACCGAGCAGAGCTTCTCGGCAGGAACCCCGCGAAGCCAAGGGGCACCCGACAAAAGAATTCTAAAAAACAATATAAGTAGAACATTATGAGCTTTGACTTTGGTAGTTAATGATATAACGAACTACTACAAAATATTATCTTATTAATTATTATATGTTAGATTTTTCATAACAATAAAATATTATGTGAAGTGTTTTTTAGACTGGCTGGTTTCTGGAAACTTGATTGTGTTTCTAAAATATCTGAAATCTATGTTGTCACTTACGTTTACCAATTAAGAAAATAAATAAAAATCTTTTCTTTATCTTTTAGTTATCACAATAAGAGTTATTATCCATTTACTTATTCTTATTTTCTAACCAGATTAATTACATAAAACCGACATCTTTGCAGGGTGCACGAGAACAGCCGACATTGTGTATCTTGAAATATTTCGCAACAAATTATTCAACACTTTGCATGCACACCAAATGGCTGCGAGGACGGAGGCGACTTGCCGCTGAACATGGACAACACGAGGCGACTGCGACCCTCGGCCCCCGACTCGAATGCCTGATGATGCCCACTCCGGAATCCGGATCGGATCTGAACGGATCGGATCGGATGGGGATGGAGATCGGAATGGAGATGGAGATGGGATAGGATCGCCCAGCTCTCGCTCCCAGTGAGTCCCTTTGGCCCTGTCAGCATCTTGTCTCCGCTGCACACTGCTGTTTGTCATTTCCTCCGCCTGCGGCTTGTTAAGTGCTGGTGGAATTTGCCACATTGCCACAGTTGCAGTTGCAGCCAGCGGATGACAACCGACGGGATGCAAGTCGGTAGCCGGCGAGGGGCAGACGTAAATCATGCCAATTTAAATGAGTGCAACCTGCGTTTTGACACTTGTCATTGTCATGGACCCCAAATGTGGTCTCCGTTTGATTGCCACTCCGTGATCTGCAGACTGCATGACGTCGTCTGCATCTGCACAGGAAAACATTTCGTAATTAGGAAATCCAATCTCATTAGCTATAATTAGTGGTTCCTAAAGTCAGAAGGAGGGTGTTCGTTTAAGTCATTTACCAAATAGAAGACTTTATTGGAATTATGGATTTGATTAACCAAACAAAGATTGAATTATTTTTAAAATGACATTTTTTTGGACAACATAATTTGATTAAAAATCTTTCGGAATAAATTTCAAATTTGTAAGTGTTATGATATATAGGTTTTTTTTGCAGTGTGTGATCAAGTCCCTATCATTGTCACCGGAAATGTTGCACTTGTCGGCCTGGCGGCTACATTAATCAGCTTGCATTTATGGCCTGCTGATTGAGTTATGCCTAGGATCCCATTCCAACGACACCCACGATCTCCATTAAAAAGTTATCACCTATTTTTATCTTGGCTAGGAGTGGTCAACTTGGTCCAAACCAGTATTCCTAAGCTGACTAAGCCCTCTTCGACAATATTGTTAAGCCGTTTTTTACATACTCGTAAATGTCTTTAATTAGTATTTTCAATGGATAGTTATAAAAAAATAACTGGTTAAATCCCACAAGGCAATTTCATAATCAGTGGAATCCCTTTAAAAAATCTATATTCCTATCCTTTTTATTTGGCAATCATAAAACTCTCCTTCAATAAATCACTGCAACATCTAAGTTTAATGCAAATCATCCTGTTATTACTCCACTTTTCCACTGAAGACCCCACTGAAGGGATCTGGAGTCCAAAGGAGGAGTCTTGATATCCATTGCATCTCGAGTGGATTCTCAGTCCAACTGATTGGTGGGCTGCTGAATGCTAAGTTGACGCTTTGATCTTGTCTTGGGCGTAAATCTGGTGATGCGCTTTTGAGATTAAATGCCATTTGTGCGGCGATGGAGCTGGTGATGTTTGTCTTCGATGTCTCCGCCGAACGAAGTGCACCATGCACTTGGCAAATTAAGAAGGTCCGCGGAATGGGATGCAATCCCAACAACGACAACAACACGGGCACCTGTTCATTAAACGAGGGGGGAAAATATAGTGCGCCGAGTGCAGTAAACAAATGTAATCGACATCCTGTGTAGGCCACAAAGGATGCCGCCTGCAATCGATGAGTGCCGGGGGGATGGGGGAGCAGAAAGGGCGCCTCCATGGCTAACAAAAGGAAAAGACAGGCTCACACACGAGCGCCGCTCGGTTGAAATGAACTGGAACGCAAAGACAAACAGGAAAAGCGAACCGCGGCCGAGAACTCCGCGCAGCACACAAAACAAATAATAAACACAAGCATTTTTGATTTAGCATGAAATTTAAATGACCCGCCGCACAACCACACGCAAACACACACAAACACACAGACAGACACTAAAATTCTGGGGAGGCAGATGGTAGATGGTAGATGGCGGAGCTGCAGCTCAAGACTTCACTTTGCGTTTTATTGTCAGGGCGCGCAAATATTGTCAAAAGACTTTCGAGAGGACTCATTCCCATTCCACCGCATAATACACAGGAAAAAATACCTGGAAGAAAATCTACTAATAATCCTAAGAAAGGAAATCTGATTGGAGAATATAAAATGTAATATCTCATATTTACTTAAGCTGATTTGGACAAGTTGTAAAATGTTGCGTATTAATGTTGGATGTAACAATTCCTTTAAAGCTTGAGGTTTACCGATTTTTTATCTACAATATTAAATTTTACTATCTTCTTTACCCTTAAATTATTATTCAAATAATTCTCTATTTAAGATATTTTTCTCAGCGCATTTGCCAGACATTCCCATTTGCATCTCTCGTTGCAGCGACGGAAGCGCCAGTGAAGAGCAAAAGATGCCGACAAAAAAAAAGGAAAGATGGGCCCAGGGTCTGGTCTTTGGTCCCTGGTTTCTGGTCCCTGCTCCCTGTTCCCTGTTCCCTGACCCCTTATCCCTAACCCAAGTCCCGAGTATCGAGTCCCTTGAGCCTGGTCCTGTTTTGTTTGTCCCGGCGCTTCGAGTGTCCCCTAGACGATGCAGAGAGCACTTGTTTGGATTTATATTTCGGTTTGCTTAGGTCCGAGGAACCGAGGAGCTGAGGAGCCGGCTAAAGTGCCAGGCAATCAAAAACAAATTATGAGTGCTACAATTTGCCCGGGGAATGCGGATCGTAATGGGATCGAAATGGGAGTGGGCAGGCCTCCTTATCGCGCGCTTATCGATGTTTATGGGTTCAACTAATGCACTTGGCGTGCAGTTTCCACTCGG